TCGTGTTTTGGTATAACCTATAGGCGAATCCAGTTGCGAAATATCGCTCAAAAATCTTGATTTCGACCAGGATTTGCCCTTTAGGAGGAGATCCAAGCATCGAATTGAGCCGAAAAGGTATCCATTGGATAGAGCTCATCGAGTTCTATCTTGGTATATCATTTTCTCGTTTTGGTATAATCTATAGGCGAATCCAGTTACGAAATACAGGGGAAACCGGATTTTGGCTAGGATTTGCCCTTTTGGAGGGGATCCAAGCATCGAATCGAGCCGGAAAGGTGTCCATTCGATAGAGCTCGTTGAGTTCTATCTTGGTATACCATTTTCTCGTTTTGGTATAACCTATAGGCGAATCCAGTTGCGAAATACCGCAAAAATCCGGATTTCGGCCAGGATTTGCCCTTTCGGAGGGGATCAAAACATCGAATCGAGCTGGAAAGGTGTTCATTCGATAGAGCTCGTCGAGTTCTATCTGGGTATACCATTTTCGTGTTTTGGTATAACCTATAGGCGAATCCAGTTGCGCTTTACAGAAGACGCTTGTTATTTTGCTTATTTTTTTGTCTGTATTTTTGGTTTTTTTCCATGAAGGAGGGGTCTTAGAAAAAAAGTAATTAGTGGAATCGATAGATCTCGTCGAGATCTATCTTGGTATACCCTTTTCACCGTTTGGTATAACCTACAGGCGAATCCAGTTGCGGAATACTCGAATCCAGCTCCAAGATATCCTACGTTGTATTAAATGACATATTATCAAATATTTGATTTATGTCGAATATATATAAATAATATTCATCGTATGGTACAAATATTTGGTATTGAATCAGCTAATCGTACATTAATACGTGAAATAAATCGAATATTTCGTAGTTATGGAATTAATTGAAGCTGATTATAAATATTTATCTTTATTAGTTGATTATATGACATATGAAGGTGTTTATAAGGCATGTAATCGCTTTGGTTTAAAAACAAATGCAAGTCCTTTACAAAAAACTAACATTTAAAACATGAAGAACATCTTTAAACGAAGTATTATTATATGATGAACATGAACAATTAAAATCTTCATAATCTCATTTAGTTACTAGACGTATGATTCAATACGGTACTGGTGTTTTTGATATTCTTACAAAATTATCTTCATCATAACAATAATTAATATATTTTCTTGTATTTATTTGTTTTATTCTTCTAGTGACTGTTTTTTTTTCTTTTTTTGCCTAATTAAACAATATTATTTTGTTATGTGAATTTTTTTAGATATTTTATCCTCATGAATAAAAATGATTTATTAACAATCAATGATAATTCAGCTTGATTTTTGGACTTCGTCAATAAATGAAATTGTCTATTTGATTTTTATCGATGGAATTACAATGAACTCTTCATAAACATTGATATTGGATTTTCACTTTTTATTCAATTATTTGAGATTTAGAAATGATCAGTTCTATGAAATTAAACATAAAAGCCGATTAAAAAATATTTCATCCTAATGTAAATATAACAAACAATAGTTGGAAAACGATTAGTTTTTGTATGATTTCCAGTAATAAACTGATAACTCTCAAATCAGGAAAAAGACCGTACTCTCTATAACACAAGCGAATTTAATAGGATCTAGGATATAAATTTTTTTTTGAAAATATTACTAGTTTTTAAAAAAAAGTTGAATATCGTTTTCTTCTATCATATATGATCATAGGTTTGATTGTTACAGGTTTTTTATGGATATTAATAATAAGAGTTTAATGAAAGAAAAACATGAATATTGATAGACAAGAAAAGAGAGAAAAAGCAAGTGATGAGAAGAAGATGATCACCTTCTTCTCCTATATATTCTAGAAAGAGGATGATGTCTTATGGATTATTATGTGATGTATCTCTCTCGTTTTCCCAACTGCACGTCAAATATACATTTAAGTCACATTGAGAAAAGCGTCAATATATGAGATGGTAAAACAATGAAAAGAAAAGAAAAGAGAAGAGAAGAGAATGGATATTAGAGAGAGAGAGAGAGGAAAGGAAGAATAACAAGAGAGAGAGAGATTTAAAAAATGACATAGAAGAAAATAAAAACATAACGTGTTTTGAAGGAAGTGTTGTAATGATTAACTTACTTCGATGAACTCGATTTGTTAATCGAAAAATAATAAAGTCTTCTTATATTCATATATCCTTAATATTCTTTTCTCGAATATTGATCTAATCATTTATATATACTTTAAGGATAATATTCGTTTTATTTCATTATAAATCATGTTTAAAATTCAAGAAATTGACAATGTGAGAAATGCATTAGATCTAGATATTGTCAAGTATTATCTCAATTGGGACTTGATTTAGTATAACATTTCAGAGTTAAATCCGACGATATTTAATCAGGAATGCGGATGAATTTGTGATTGTACTATATGAAAAAGAAGCACTAGATCTCCTGTAGAAGTGATTTATTTTCAAGGTTATCTCTACAGAGCATAAGCATATTTTCTCAATCTCCATCTTTTGATAAAATTCATTTTCTTATTTTTAATTTGGAATTATTTTAAGAGACTAAATTGAGGTGTTTTGTATTTTCTATAATAAGTAAGTTTAATTAAAAATTTGTTTTATTAAAATAATTTTTGTTTTAGTTCAGAGCGAATGAATATGTTAATACTTCAATGTCAGTTACATCTCAAATCTAATCATCATAATGTACTTGACAACAATGTAGAACATATGATTTTTCTAGAATAATGATATGAGAACAAGCTATATTTTTCGGCTTCGGCATCTCTTACTGGTTATGAAAACAATCTGAAGAAAATATTTATAAATCAATTATTTTTTCATCAGATATTTTTTTTTATATTGAACTTGATTCCGATGTTGATTCATTTTGTAAATTGATTAGAAGTTTGTTTATCTAGAAAATATTTTACTTTTCTAATATTTTT